AAAATAAACTGATTTGGTTTTAACTGAAATGATTCCCTACAAATATGTAATGTGTAGTTTTCAAATAAACCTTTTCATAAAAAATTATTACTTTTAATTTGATGCAAACATGCAATTTTGTTGTTTAATAATATTGCATAAATTACATATGATATTCTTTTTTTTTATATATTTTTGATTGGTTTTATAAGTATATCACATTGTATATAAAACAAATTATTAAAACTATCATATCGTGAAATGTTATTTTTTTACTAAATTAATAATCATTTATATTAGTTTGTAAGATAAATTTTTGTTTGTTTAGATATCTAGAATTTTAAAGCGTATAAAAACTCTACTATGAATAATAGACAAACTGAACCTAAAATTATTGTACTCAAATATAATATTTTTATATGAAATTGAAGCAATAAATTAGACATATGAATAACCTTAGTGTTGTTTTTTTATTCAGTGAGTGTTATTCATTTGAAATTAAAAAAGATTTGAAATATTTGTAGACATATTATATGTAAAAAATGTTATAGAACATTTGAGAGCACCAGTTTCTATTTATTCTTATATAAAGAATGCAGAAATTTCTAAGCTGAAGACGATATTTATGGTATATGATATGATATTTACAATATATAATATAAATGAATGATAGATATTGATATATGCACTCAACAAGTGAGAACTCTAAGTAAAGACAAAATACTTTTTTTAAATCAAATTTATTTTATTTTATTAAATGAGTTATATTTAATTTTTTGTTATCATTTATTAATAATTTTGTTTTTTCAATTTCTTTACAGTTTTTTTATCACAAATTAATTATCACAACATGTCATATATGATCGGCATCTTAGTGGCACTTGTGTCAATAGCTACAACATGCACATCACTGCCAGATGTAAGTATTATGTATCATTTCATACCAGTATATGTCTTTAAAGAACAATCAATTCTATTTTGATAATAGAATATTAGTCTGAACTTCTTTTTCGATACTTATATTAGAGATACTTTTTTTTTAAATGTTTTAAAATTAATTTAGTCGGAAGAATGAAATTTAAAATATTAACTAATATTATTATGTTTAGCGTACGATTAAAATTAGTGCATGTTTAATACGAGTTGTGTAGAATTCTAACTATTATTTATTTAAAAATGAACCTTCAGTACAGTATAACTCGCCCTAAGTATTTTGGCACCTGGAGACAACGCCGCCTGTTCATTTTAAACAAAAAAAAACGTGTGCATTTCGAAATTAAAACAGTCTTGTTTTATTTTGCTTCTTCCTTGTGTCAAATATTTGGTTTAAATAAGTACCTGATATGCATAAAGTAAATAGAACTTGCGTCCTAAGTAAGATAATACAGCCTTGCCACAATAGTGTAAGTTATATATCCTATCATGGAGTCAGTGTTTTTTATTTTTTATAACCTGAGTTACCGACTCTTTATCTACCTGGAGTTATTCATAATTTGCTGATAGCACAGTCAATGGCATTAGGATTGACTATGACTTTAGATTCGTTTTTTTTTAAATATTAAATTTTAATTTCTTCAATAAAAATTATTAATCTGTAGATCTTCGTAGATAAAACGATAGGCCTTATAAAGTTTCTTCATCGTATATCCTCGATAATGCTTAGGGATTATATGTATCATAAGTATACATAATTACTAAGTTTTTATAAAAACCAACATGCACTATCAATAATTTCCTCAAGCAGCATTATTCATTTTACAAACCTTGTTACTACTTAAGAACAATAGTTGCTTGCCACAAGTCACAAGCTAGCTACATTGTATGTGCGCACAATGACAACAAAGCGACAACGACAGCAATTTTACGATTTGTTTCAACTGGCCCAGTTGACTAGACTCTATTTGGCCAGTAGTAATAGCTTGGCAAATTTGGCTTATTACGCGTTCCTACTTATGTGCTCAGAGTCATTATGTGCTACAAAAACAATTTGTCCAGATCGTGTTGTTTTTGAACGAATGACGGATATTGTGAAATTCTTTTTTGATTGCAATTTGTAGGACCACATTTTTTACTTATTTTTTTTTTAATTTCTTAAATGATTTAATGCAACGATAGTAAAACTTCTAACGACTGAAGCGCGCAGAAATGAAAACAACAAAAAAAATATTGCTCAAAAAGTGATTACTCATACGCTATGTTGTACTGCGCAACCATTTGTGTACTGAAATGAACTGAAAAAGACAAACCATAATTTTAATGCTAATAAATAAATATCTTTACTGTTTTGTTTTAATTATATTTTATTATATATTTTTGGCAAAAACTATCACAAAAAAAAAATATCAAAATCGCTCAACATTAATTACGACTAATTGTAATTACTTAGTATTTTTCTACAATGCACAACAATCAAATGACATTTCTGTTTTTGTTCAAAAAATACAATAGTATAGACTGTAATGGATAAGTAATAAATTCATACCGAATTACACAATTTGTCTGTACAAAACGCCGGTCAAAGTCACAAACTTATTAAGCCAAAAATACAAAAGTACAAACCCAAAAAAAATCAAGAGAGTAAAAAGTGCCACTCCACAAAGAAATCATTCAGTCAAAACCAACCTGACCTTGTGTTTTTCTTTACTTATATCTTTTCATAAAATGTTATACTAAATAAATAAAAAAAATTTGTTTTATTTTTGTTAAAATTAGCAAGTAATTTTGTTAAATACGAAAACTATTATGACAACGACTGTAAAAAGTTCAGGGTTCAAAGCATTCTTTTTTGTGAAAAATAATTTAATATTTTATAATTAAGTTTGCAATTTTGTAATAAAATTTGTGTAAATTTGAATTATTGTGACAATTTTTAGTATAATGAGTTACTTTATACTATTAATAGTTAATATGCCCAAATATTACAATTATAATTATTTTTCTTCTGTAATCCATACTCTTTAACGTTAAGACAATATATAAAAAAAATTGCATGAAAAAAAATATATCTCTAAGGGGTTAAAACTTGAATTATTTAATTAATTATCTTCTCTGCAAGTATCGATTTAAACTAAAGTACATTTTTGTTACTTATTACTATCATAAATTTTTTTGTGATATTTGTCTAAGAAATTTTTGTATATTTTAACTCAGTAATGTGATCTGAACTTAAATATTCGTCTATTCCATTTTACACATAATTTTATTGACAGTTTTCGATAATAAATCGATCAGAGCAAAGAGCATCTTACACATCCAAATTTTTACAATGAACCAGTTATTTGAGATGTAGAAACTTATCTATATCTTTTTGTATTTAAGTAATAATTAATTAAATTAATTATTAATTAATTATTAAGCTCATTGTATTTTTATCTGTATTAGT